TTCCTATTGGTTTCCAAGCAACCAATCAGATTTCGAGGCGAATTGGTGCCAGATTCGAACTCATCGCCTCGAAAACTCTGTGCCCCATCATTTCCTTCAAAGTATATGTGTTTGGCTCTATTTTTTTAAGAGCTGAATTCCTATTGGTTTCCAAACAATCAATTAGATTTGGAGGGAAATGTATCCCAGATTCGAATTCAGCGCCCTCGAAAACCTCTAGTTCCATGTTTTCTGTGTGTTCATGAAGTGGAGCTCAGTTATAGTTCTATAGTATCGAATGCTGCAACCCTATTGGTCGGTTTCATAGATCGCCTGTAGCATGCGTAGGATTCGTTTTTTTTTCGGAAAAAAATACATGTCGACCTTCTCCTAGGTGTAAAGACCATTTCTGGAAAGTTTCATAGCATTTGCTCGCACCGAGTCCAAATGCATGAAGAACAAACAAACAAACAGACAGACAAACATTCTTCTTTATATATATAGATTAGAGAATCTTCAGTTTTCACAACCTGGCTGGACTTTCACTTGACTTTTCCGCGTTCGTGCATGGCATTGCAAAAATCAGATTAAATTCTCTAAAATTTCTGAGAAATTAGAAAATTTTCTGCAGTTTTTCAAAAAACGAGGGGGATTTTCCGCCCCATTTCTCGGGTGCGCCGACCCCCTCTCGACTTTTCCTTGGACCTAAGGGAGTGCCATGAAAAGTTTAGTGACGTTAACTCTTACAGGGACTGAATCCATAAAGAATAGACAAACATTCTTCTTTATATATACAGATAGATAAACGCTGGAAAAGAATTTATACTAAAAAAATTAAGAATAATAATCTTTAGTAATTCTTCAGACTCCAAAGTATTATACACCGTCTTATACTTTTTGCAAAAGTTTTCATAGATCTTTCCAATGTATATAAGAAAACCTCATCGATAATGAAATTGATCTGAAAAAAAAGTATATTGGTGACACTATACGAAGTAACTGAAGTTTTGGAAAGTATTAGAGATTTTATAATACACTCAATTGAATCTACTTTGAAAAGTTTGATTTGCATGAAGCAAAACACAAAATAGAATTCTCTTCAAAAACTTTTGTCTTTCTTCAATAAATTTAGTTCAATGTCACAGTTTACTTTTAGATGTACCCAATGTATGATATTACTACATACAAACAAAATAATTTTTATCTTTAAATTTTTGTTTGATAAGATAGTTCAGTTTAAAAAAATATCTCAGAGAAGATTCAATAAATCCATATATCAACCTGCCATGTATTTTTCCGATTTCTCTTAATCAACAAGAAATAATAACTTTAAGTCATCATATTACTCAATAAGAAAAATATCAGAATTATTTCATTTTTTGACGGGAGCATATAACACTGCGGCTCAATTAAGATGCATCTCAAAAAAAAATAATAAATGGAATAGTATTTTTAATTATCTTTTGCAAGACAGGCAGAATTCGATTTCGACTAACGTGAACTTTCATGCTTTACTCGAGCAGGACGCCGAAAAAAAAATTTGAATGAAAGAGATACAAACTTCATCGAAACCCATCTGTAGCAAAGCTCTGTTGAATTAATAATCTGTTTACTAAACATGCGAATATCTTAGACTTCCTAAATAAATGAAAAATTGGTTGTTTGTGACTAAAAGTAAATAAAAAATTATAAGTTTAATTTTTCATACTTTGGGCAGATAGGAGAAAAAAGATTCTTATATGTAAGGTTAAATCAAGTTATAAAATGTTATTTTAATATTATTCTTGATAGTTTCCTACGGAAACCATACCAATGATAATATTATGTTCGGTACGTAGATAAACTAAAAGGAAAAAAATAATACATTTTAAGACTTGCAAAGACATTAAAAAAATTTCAATAAATTCAAAGTACATAGAACTCAAGTGTTTGAGTAAAATATTAATAATTTCAAAAATTTTTATAAAATTTCAATAAAATTGAAACATTTTTTAGCGAAAATGGCTTTTTTTGGATTTACTTTTTGGTATGTATAGGTACAAATTAAATCAATCAGAACCCAAACTACGTAGATACTATTCATAAGATATAAGGGTAACGAAAATGTTCAAGTTTGTTTAATGAAATTTGTCATGATTTCTTGTATTAGTAATTTATGTTATTATCGATAGATATTAAATTATCTTTTGTTTTAAGCAAACTTATAATCTTAAGGTTTTGGTGATTCAAGTGAACACAGCAATTAAAAAATTTATACAATAACTGACCGTTCTGAAAAGCCATTACTTTGATGACCTTGAGAATAATAATTTATTAAGCGGTACCATAAACGACCTATTGTTGCACCAACAAAAGATAGATGTGAAGCAATTTCTGGATGATGCATCATTGTGTCTTTGGTGGTTGGAATGCTACCATAAAATTTATATCCAGAAATTCGATCACTAGCACTAATTTCGGATAATGGTGAATAAAAACCCATTTCTAATAAAGGCTTTTCAGCATCGTCTGTGACAACGAACACATTAGATTTTGCTAACTTAGCAGATAGAGAAGCTATTGTAAAATCATCCACTATTCCTCCTTCATCTTCTGATATTCCCAACGCTTTAATTGTATTGATAATACTATTTTTTACTGGTGCAATAATTTTTGATTTGCCGCTACCTTTCAAAAATAATTTTCAACATGTTTTACTCGTTTTTTCTATATTATGTACCTGATGGTCCAATCAATAATAAAAAAATATTAAGATTACTGACGTGATTTGTTATTCTAACAATCGAGTCACTAGAAAAATGACCAACACATGTAAATAATGATAAAAGTAAACCTGCTGGATCAGTATCATTTAATGATTTAAAACTATTCAAGACATCAAGTAACAACTGAAATGAACTATCAAAAATGTTTTCAAGATTAATACGAATATCACGAGCATCGGATAAATTTCGTTGCCATGTACAATTGGCCGAATATTCTTGGTTTTTGTTGATTTTATAAGACATCATATATTATAATACCATGTAGAATAGAATCATATCACAATAAATATCATCAAATTAATTATGAAAGTAATCGTAGATACAATGAGAAAAGGAGCGAAAAATCAAATACCGTGAAAAATTATCAGATCAATATAGCAATAGCCGGGTAAGTTATAGAAAAATGACCTAGTTCTAAATTGTAATTTAAGCAATTGGGATAAGAATATTTTTTTTTCAAATAGAATCATTGTCAAAATCAATTATTTCAACTTTTCCTATTACTGCAGCGACATGAGATTAAAAAAGAATTCAACTTGAGCTAAATAATATGATCAATGAATAATTTTTATTTCGGTGTATTCGCTTTGAATGAAAAAAAAAATAGTAAATTTTCTTTCAAAGTAAAAACGTATTATCACAACTGGTATCTTTACAACGATGAGTATACATTAGATTTTTGGTATTTATTAATATTGCTATTGTGTTTCGTTTATGATGTGTCCTTTTTTTCATCGCAATACTGATATTCTCCTCCGAGATGTTGAAAAATAAAATGTCTTTATTGTAGCTGCCACGCGCACACGATCGAATATAATCTTCATGAGTCTTATCTCGTTCGATAAGATTTTTTACAAATGCTATTAATTGTTGTACTTTTTTATCTTGATCATTTTCAATTTGTTTTATTCTTGATGGAATATTTGATTTATTGGAATATGAATTCAATCTAGACCTAGCACCGAATGAATAAAAAGAATTGAAATGTGTATTGAGATTATTTAAATTAATATGATTTTTATCAATCATTTCACATGAATTAATTGAGCTAGTACATCAAAATTAATTGTTCTTTATATATATTGTCGGTATGTTTATTTGCTCAATATTCGTTATAATTGATTTTCTAATAATATCTATATATGGCACTTCAATGTGATTCTTAAATGGAAAATGACTGCATTGAATAAGTGGATTGAGTTGTCCTTTTTTAACACAATCTAATAATCTAAATTGTTGATATTTAGAATAAACGTTAGTTTCGATTGCAAAAATTCATTTGATTTAATTTATTTGACACTAATAAATAAGCAACATCTGCAACACTGACTGAACCAGAATATAATACAGAATTAGTACAGGGAGTACGTAATATGTTTACATAAGGTGTTAATAATAAAATTAATTCTGTCGCAGTATACTTTTGTGGATTAAAACTAATGTTGAATGTTGAACATTTGTGTTCAGCTATCGAATATAACAGAAAATATATAAAAACCTTCATAAACAGTCTAAATGTAATATTATTTTTGAATAGTATAGATGAATTTGCATGAATGAAATGGTATGATATATTTTTCTGAAGTGGATCTAGAAATAGAAAATAGTTTATATATAACTTGCATGTTTATATTATATAAAACATAATTTCATTTTATATTAGCACTTAATAAGTCACTAATAATGCTATCACAATAGAATTCTCTAATTTTTCATTTATTTATTTAAAATATGTTAATGATATGTCTAGAAGAAAACTTCAAGCAAATGTATTTATCTTAATTTTAAAAATTCAGTTTCATACTAAAAACAACATTCATTTCTTTATTCTTATTTTTTAATATATTCGTTTTGTGTAGAAATCTCGCTAATATATTTTTTTAAATAGCTACTTTTTATATGCTCTATACTGTAAAAGTGAAATGAAAATTTTTTATTTGACTTTAGTGAAATACAACGTTTCGCAGCTGAAAACTATCAACAATGTAATAATATGTCATAAATAGCGTCTCATTAAAATCTCTATTCATTTATAAAATTAAAATAAAATAAATAATGACACTCAGTATTACAATGTCTAATTGAAAATACAAATGCAGAAATCCTGAGAGTTTTTCGAAAATGCATTCAATTCTCCATAGAGTGTGCTTGAGATATCGTTCTATATTACATTTGAGATACCATCGTGTCTATTTGATAATAATGTAAATCAATAGAAATTATTTGTAATTTCAACATATCAAAAGTCAAATCATCTCAAATTTTAGAAAATGGCTTGAAGACAATATAAGAATTTTCATTCAAAAACCAAGTTTTTTTTTTTTTTTACTGATCTCACTATTTGAAAGAAATTCTATAAAGAATTTATATTTTCTATTCATTGAGAACTATTAATATGCATCATACTAAGCATTAAACACTTTTGTCTTGTTCTTATCAAGACATATAAAACTGAAGTTCTTTAAATTTGGAACTTTTATTCATACAATAGGAATCATAGAAAATAAAAACTGAATATTATAAAGTCAACATTTTATAAATACTACAATTTCAAAAAATACATGTTTATGAAAAAATTCAAACTCGTCGTTAAGTCGATCTATGTTTGATGTATGTCTTTGTCAATATATTATTTCGAAGAACATTTTATTTATTCGAAATTTTTATGAGACAACGCTTAAAAATTAAATGTCCAATTTTTTCATTTTTTTTTTCTTTTTGCTTAGATTTATAAGATCATTATTGTATGATACATATTAAATTCCTTAATAACTTAGAACATTCATGGAGCAGATTTTATGGTGATAGGAAAGAGATAAATGCGAACAAAAAAGATAGTAATTCGATTTGATTTGATTTGATTCAACAAAATCGATATAAGAGACTGAAAAACAATATGAAAACGTCAAATCAGCTTTGATTCGATTCAACCATATCAGTATTTAGCTTAATTTTGATTAGGCTGTGATGTATCACATCTAATCGCATCATTCAACAGTTTAAATGTGTTTCGCTTTTTCGGCATTTACATGGACTAATGCAAAAACGATAATAGTGTTACACTGATTTATTCATAAATGTTTCTGTATTTTCAATTTATTTTCTTTTTTCGATAATCTTACTGAAAATTCTATTCTTTTTCACACTAAATAAATATGCTGAAATGAAATTAGAACAAGAATGTCGAATTAATTTATTGAAATAATAATTTTTAGCTTGCGATTCTAGTACTAGAAATTGTTCTAATGTATCATTAAGATAGTTTTTGTTTTCACAAATGATATTTTGTTGGAAATTTAATAGATTGTAAAGCATTTTGAGACAGCAACTAATTTCAATATTATGATTATGAATTTCAAGATTATTATTGATATGACTATTTATCGTATTATCATTCGATAATATATATATTAAATCAAATATTCGTTAAATAATGATTTTATTTAAAAAAATAGACTTTATTATATATTTTAAACATGTCATAATAAAACGTGAATTCAATTAAAATATAAAATAATATTTAGCACGCGGAAAAATATTCTCCATTAATCATTTAAAAAATATGCAACCAGGATGAAGTACTATTATATTTAATATAGATCTTTATAAAAAAAGAGTAATTGGTAAAATAAACGAAAATATTCACTTTTTTTTTTATCAAATTTCTATTGAAAATTTATCAGAATGATATATGTCTTTAAAAAAATGCAATTGTTATTTGCTAAATAAAATAAAAATACTTCGAAGGCTAAAATTCAACTGTTGAAAAATATATTTTCATGTATAACAAAAAAAGAATTGATCTTCTGAGCAAAGTAAAATTTTATATATATATTTAAAACTTTTTTTAAATAATTGAAATTTTATTCGAGTTATTTTATCAGAAAGATGGATAATTTACTTGACATTAAAGTCAAATAAAAATTTAATATCTTACATAGAAAACATTTTGTTTTGTAGAATTTTAATAGACATTCCATACTCACGACCAATTACAAATATATTAGCACTGTAATAAAAATAAAATAGATATTTTCAGAAATATTGAAAATTCTTCCTATAGTATTTCAAAAATAAAACATCTAATGTATTCTAGTAAAAGTTAAAATGTTAAGGACATATGAAATAAATTTAGTTTAATTCAAAGTATGTTTTTGTTTTTAATACAATAAACTGTCATAGTGCTCTTGCAACATTTTAAATTTTTATGTGATATGCATATAGTTGTCTATATTTATTTTCAGAGATCTAGAACTTAGAATATTCGACAAGATTTTTTATTCGAAACGAGAAAAAAATCTTGTTTATAAATTTAAATTTATATCGATGAATTATTTGACAATAAGATTAATCAGTTAATTATAATGAATGTTATTCATGTGTATATGCATGTGAATCAATAAAAATGATAAATAATTATCAATTGGAAATTTAGTATTTTGAAATGATTGTCAATTGAGTATTATTCATCGTAATAAGAACTCGTGCACCTAATAAGAAAAAAATATAATATCGATTAATATCGTGTGAAAAAAGACTATGTTAAATTTATTTTTTTTTTGTATTACAAAATAAATAAATATTATTTTATGTTAGTTACCATCGAACCGTGATATTTTTACATTTTTAAATTGAATGTCAAGACCAGCCATATGATGATCAATCAAGCGAACCTAATAATATATGGCAACAATAAATCAAAATCAAAATCTTGTAAGAAATGACCTGATTGTTCCATAAAGTCATACCAAGTTGTATTTCATCCTGACTTACATGAAGATCTTGTCAAGTACATACATTATCATTATGTACACCAGTTGAAATACCGTAATCACGTATGATATGAACATGTACATCTAAAATAATTGCTACATCATACTTATTGTTTTGTAGGTAATTTTATTATGAATTATTAAATGTAACGAAGCTATATACAAGTTTGTTTCCGATGAACTTTACATTTTGAGGAAAACTGTCTGAATTGATGTATAAAGTATGAACGATATTAAGATCATTTCAAGTTGAATACAATTTAAAACATTCAGATGATTAAAAAAGTTGTTTTTTGAAAGAAACTCTTAACTAAAATACGTATCATTAATTATCACTAGTTTTTCTAAATAATTTCTAGTAATATTGTGTTATAAATAATTATTTCAACTTTTTAAAAAAAACTATCGACAGTCTTAATAATAATTAATATACACATACTCCGAGTCTCTTAATTTTTCCTTGTGAAAATA